TTGTTTTCAAAAGTGGTTGGGACACTTTATTCAGATAAATTGGGACTTGAGTTGGTCTTGGTCACAAGAACCCTTTTTGAAGGTCTGGTCTCAGAATCAACCTCATTTTGATGAGTTTCTGTCTCTGACAAAGAGGTCAGAAAAGAAAGGAAGATTCCCGGACATACAAGTCAACTCTGCTTTACATTTCTCATATAACATTCATACACAAACATATACTGTAAGCATATATGGCAAGCAACCAGGTGAATGAAGACATTTGAGTTTTTCTGGGATTGTGGATATGACAGATCATTTTGAGGAGTGTCTCTGTTTTTAATGTTATATATGTTTCATATCTGTGTCATGCAGGGTGGGTCTCACTTCTGTCGTCAGGGCACAGACTGGAGAGCTCTTTGGTCTTCACTTGGTCTCAGTTTAGGGGGTTTGGACAACAACAACACTGCTAAAGTGTTTCTCTTACAGTGTCCGTAGAAAACGTTGTTATGGTAATGAATGCCTCTTGTTCATGTAACCAGGCAAAAATAAACACAAACAATTATATAAATTGAGTCAACACACTTCTTTATTAATATGTAATGTTGAAACTTAATGCAGTGGGTGTTTTACAGTGGGCTTCACTGAGGAAAGAGAAGAAATCCACTGAAAATCATGCGATTATGAGAATCATCCCAAACGGCGTAGTTGAGAGAGAGAACGATGTAGACAACATCTCCCTTCTCCAGCTGAAGAACCATTGAGTTAGACGCAGAGACCAAGCCAGAGCCATCATTGTGATCTGAAAGCCTCATCTTTCTCTGGTCGTTGTGATAGAGTTCAACAGCGGTCCAAACTAAATCGCGGTTCTCCCACACGTTGAATCTGAAGTAGTAGACTCCTCTGACGGGGGCTGTGAAGATACCTGCATCAGAGGAGAAGGTCAGTGAGGGGAGATTGTTTCTGGAGCTTCAGCAGGACTTAAGGACGGGTTTTTAAATAAGGAACACGTAGGAGCTCTTGACTTGGTTCTACTTTCTACCATGATCAACTGCAGGAACACTAAGAGATGTTTTAATGGTTTCATTAAGAAAACACTTAAGAACGCTGACAGTCACGTGTGTGTGTGTGTGTGTGTGTGTGTGTGTGTGTGTGTGTGTGTGTGTGTGTGTGTGTGTGTGTGTGTGTGTGTGTGTGTGTGTGTGTGTGTGTGTGTGTGTGTGTGTGTGTGTGTGTGTGTGTGTGTGTGTGTGTGTGTGTGTGTGTGTGTGTGTGTGTGTGTGTGTGTGTGTGTGTGTGTGTGTGTGTGTGTGTGTGTGTGTGTGTGTGTGTGTGTGTGTGTGTGTGTGTAGTACCTGTAGTTGGGTTGTAGGCCTGGCCGATATTGGTGAAGACTTTACTGTACTTCAGTGTGGTTGGAGTGGTGAAGGGTCCGACTGATCCTGCATCAGTGAGACCGGCTGAGAACGCCACCTGAGGACGGTCTGTGAGAAAGAGGAGGAAGCACACAGAGATGAGAACTCATTCACAAACTGTCTATTAAACTAAGAAAGTCAGTGGTTTGCATTCTGATAGTCAGCAGAGATTGATATGTAATATTCTCCTCAGTATATCAGTTCTATTCATTAAATAACATTTTGACTCTTCATAATAGAGAGGTGCAGGGATGACGTATTTACCCTGAAGTAAGCTGCTGGTTCCCTCGACAAAAAAGCAACGGGATTTCTCCATAGGATTTAGGAAAATAGCTGGAAATAAGGTCTGTGGAAAACGAGCCTGTTTGATAAATGCACGTTTTGTCTAGCCTACTTTTATAATGTTCGAATCATAAATCTAATCGCCAGAAGCAAAATTCTAACGTTATGCTATAAAGGAACTACAGCCGAGTCCAGCAGCACGACTTCAACGTCACGCCAACTTAAGATCCATATTCAAACATACAGATTCTAAATGGTACGAGTTGAAGCGTTTGTTTGAACAGTTAGCAGGAGGCAGGTACTTGCTTTCAAGCAGAACAGGGCAAACAAACTTAGAGGAGTGTTAACGTGTTCGGCGTAATGACGTACAACGTCCTCCACGACTTCTGTAGTCCTATTCAGCCACTTGGTAACAACCATCGTTTTTCAGACACGTCAACTCTTCAGAAATCACCAGTGGGGTCACTGCTGATGGATTTAATGTCTTAGAACAAAACGTGATCCGTCTCTTCAATGTGTCTCGACCAGAGTTGGGTGTAACGCGTTACTTTGTAACACGTTACTGTAATAATATTACTTTTGTCGGTAACGGAGTAGTGTAACGCGTTACTTTTATAATTCAGTAATCACACTACAGTTACTAACATTGCCCCGACACGCGTTACTTCGTTACTTTTATAAAATCAGTCATAATCACACTGACAGACAAGAGGGGTTTCCGCCGCAGGTTTATATGTACGTAATCTGCACGACTTGCGCGTCCACATCTCCGCGTGCAGTGCTGCATAAACATGGCTGAGTCAGCGATAACTTTCGAGGGGTGGAGGTATGCCCATTATTTTGAGTTCGTCCGAAGAATAGACAGGAATGTGACGGTGAGGTGCAAACTGTGTCCAGGCCAGAAGCTGTTATCCACTGCTGTAAACACCACGTCAAACCTCAACAAACACCTGCAAAGAACACATGCTAAGGTGAAGCTAATAGCTAAGGACCCCCGAACCCAGAGTGAGGATGTTGTGAGTGCGCAGCCGCCGACTCCGAAGCAGCAAAAATTTGAATTTGGAGGACCGGTAACCAAAGCAGAGATGGAGGCTTGTAGCATCCTTCATAGTAGAGGTAATGTTGCCCATTTGCACAGTGGAATCACCATCGCATCGTTCAGAGATATACTGCGCAAAATACAGATAGCAGGAGACAGAGGACAGCCATGGTCAGAGCTATCTGGATCAGTCTTATGCGACAATGGAAACTGAACTAAAGAGAACATTTGAAACTTTAGCAGTCTGCGTGATCTGCCTGTAGGGAGGGGCGGGCCGGCCCTGCGAGTAAAGTGACGAGTAAAGTAACGAGTAAAGTAACGAGTTACTTTATGTAGAGAGTAACGAAGTAGTGCAATATATTACTTTTTTTTTTTAAAGTAATATGTAATATATTACTTTTTTTTAGTAACGACCCCATCTCTGGTCTCGACCACAGACCTTATTTCCAGCTATTTTCCAAAATCCTATGGAGAGATCCCATTGGCTCTGAGACGAGGGAACAGGAAGTGGTGAAATGCTGACTCACTTCCTGGTTTTAGGACTCATTCCTGCACCACTCTATAGTTTCTGTTTCTCACCTGCGTTCTCTCTCTGGAGCTCCTCCACCTCCTTTTCACTGGAGCTCATCCTGGACTCTAAAGCTGAACAAGTTTAACATTGTTTTAGTCAAATAAAGTTATAGTCTCTTGTTTACAATTTCACTATTGCAGATCTTATGTGAATAATGTTCTACCATACTAAATATTCACTTTTCAAATTCACTGCAATATTTTGTTGCCTTTAAAACGGCAAACAAATTTTTGTGAGAAACGTTTTTATAGAAAAATATAATTATATCAGTCATTTCTCCTTTTCTTCTTTGATGACTTTGTACTCCTACCTGTGCTCTTATTCTCACTCGCTGTGACTCGAGCCAGGAGATCTGCAATACAGAGAAAGAGCAGGTTAACAGCTGATAAACAACCACAAAATATCTCATCAATATGTTCGTACTATTTCTGTTAAACATATCATTTACTTCTCTTTTCTCACTTTTAAATTCACCGTCTGTTTTTTTACATAAAGCAGCCAATCTTTATTTTTTAATAATAGTTTCTTACCTGCGTTCTCTCTCTGGAGCTCCTCCACCTCCTTCTCACTGGAGCTCATCCTGGCCTCTAGAACTGAACAAGTTTAACATGTTTATAGTAAAATATGGTTTTCATCCTCAGTTTATTTCAGTTTCCGTCACTTTTACATATTAGAAAGTTTGACACATGTTTTCTACCACACTAAAGAGTTCACTTTAACCTTGTGTTGTGTTCGAAAGCTGTTACCGTTCATGGTGCTCACGGGTCAATTTTGACCCATGATTTATCTCGGTCCAAAACACTCAAAAATAATGACTATCATCCAATATTGTTTTAACTACATCATAATTAACTTCTAATGCGTACATAACCCTACAATCCTGTTGTAATTTTATTTTATGGCCCAAAACACATTACACCACATATTTAAGTAAAACATGTGATTTAATTCACTCATTATATTTCCTATAGGGAAGACAGTGGATCATTACGTTATCTGACTATAATAGACTATTAGAATACAATCTCCCCAAAAACGTTTTAAATGATTGTTACAGTGGATGAAGGGGGTGGGGTGGGGTGTCTAAAGACAAAGATGAATCTTGATTGGGCCAAATTTGACCCTGAGTGACCCAGAACATGCTGCTCGGTCTCCCCAGACCCGAACACCAAATTATACACTTTTTCTTTTAGAGACCTTCAGACTTGTCTAAAATGGTCAAAATCAGTTTTGTAGTGTTTATATAGCTGTTGTGGAGGATATCATGAAGCCTCGTTCAGATACAACAAACTAGAGCGTAGTTATTATATAATTTTAACTTGAAACGGGTCACGGGAGACCCGAACACAACATACGGGTTAACTCAGATAGCTTACCTGCGTTCTCTCTCTGGAGCTCCTCCACCTCCTTCTCACTGAAGCTCATCCTGGTCTCTAGAACTGAACAGGTTTAAAAATTGTAAAAAATAAATGATGGTCAACATTTGTCTTCAGTTTTTGTCATTTTTACAAACCGCGTATTCAAGAATGTTTCTACAATACTAAAATGTTCACTTTCAAATTTTCTCTAGACCGCTTTTTGCCTTTTAAAAATGGGAACACATTTACAGTTTTTATGAAAAAAACAACAACTTTGTATTTTCTCCATTTCTTCTTTGATGACTTTGTACTCCTACCTGTGCTCTTATTCTCACTCGCTGTGACTCGAGCCAGGAGATCTGCAATACACAAAGCAGCTCATTATCTGACAAACAACCACACGTGATATCTTATCAGTATGTTCATCTGATTCTGTTCACCTCTCTTTTCTCACTTTTGTATTTTACACAAAAACATGTCTTTGTATCTTAATATTCACAACATTTCCCTTTTTATGATGTTTCTGTTTCTCACCTGTGATCTCTCTCTGGAGCTCCTCCACCTCCTTCTCTCTGGAGCTCCTCCACCTCCTTCTCTCTGGAGTTCCTCCACCTCCTTCTCTCTGGAGCTCCTCCACCTCCTTCTCTCTGGAGCTCATCCTGGACTCTAGAGCTGAACACATTTTAGGTTTTTAATTAGGATTAAAACACACACTCATTGGCACAGGCGTCACTTTGTTTTCAAAAGTGGTGGGGACACTTTATTCAGATAAATAGTATTATTGTAGATGTCACTGTGGAGCTCTGTCACAAACATTATTGTACATGAACATATAAGTCAGCATATGTAAATATGTACCTGCATTCTTGCTCTCGCTGGCTGTCAGTCTGACCTGTGTGGCTTGGTTAAAAACAACAGATGAGTCCTTAAAGTGAAGAGTGTCAGTGATGATGGTTGCTTGTATCAGTGCAGCGTGATGTGGCTCTCAGTGTGTTTTATGTCAGCTGTGTCACCTGTGTTGTCTTGCTCCAGACTCTGGATCTTGATCCTGTGTTCGATGGCCATGTCTCTGAGCTCCTTCAGCTCAGCCCAGACGTCAGTGCTCACCTGGGTCTGACTGCTGCTCTGATCGTGGGCTCCTTGGATATCAAAGTCCCCCTCTTTCTTGCCTGTCCCCCCTCCATCCTCACCCTGAGCCCCCGTCCAGAGCAGACAGAGCAGCAACGCCGGAAAAACTGCAGCTCTCCTCATTCTGAAATATCGCTGTTCAGACAGGGAAGTGTGACACGTCTCGCTCTGTTCCCCTCTTTATATCCACGTTAAACAGGTCACTGACGAGGCACATGAGAATCCAGCAGATGTCTTTGATAACACATGTGAAAAACACCCAAACGTCCTTGGACATTAACCTGATTTTAAAGGAAACAACAACCATTGAACCAACCAATGAAACCATTGCAAACATCAGGCATATCTTGCCTCAAAACAATGCAGAGAAAGTAGTCCATGCACTTGTTACTTCAAGGCTGGATTATTGTAACTCTTTATTATCAGGGTGTACCAAGAAGTCAGTTAAGTCGCTTCAGCTGATTCAAAATGCTGCAGCACGTGTACTAACCAGAGTTAGGAAAAGGGACCACATTACTCCTGTTCTGGCTGCCTTACACTGGCTCCCTATAGAATACAGGATAGAATTTAAAATTCTTCTTCTCGCCTACAAAGCCCTTAACCTGTTAAGCACCAAGCCTGTTTTTCATGTTTCAGGCTCGAAAATGACATGCCCAAAACAAATGACTACAAGTTAACTTCTAAAAGGATTATATGAATAATTTCTTTTATCAAAGCAAGGTTACATCTGTGAGTTGGATGTAGAAGTGTCAGAATCAATATAGATGTTTTTTATTTTTAAAGAAAATTCAGATTTTACATAGTAAAAAACTGTAAATTATAGTGTCCGTCCAAAAATTATTTTTTACAGATAGTGAAAACTACCCTTGGATGATGGGTTAGTAGACTAAAAGCTTTAGGAATCCAAAGTACAACATATAATAAGTACCCTGTATCAAGATTGATGCAAAACAAGTGACATTTGACCTTTTTAGAGAGGTTTAGCCAAAACCACCCCACCTCTGAGGTGATTTGGGTGAAAATGTTTTTTTTTTCCATATCTCTGGCCCCCATTGGTCGATTTTGATGGTTGACACCTCTTTCTGACCGTTAGAGCCAATATAATCGAAGGGGGAGGCTCCCACACACACACGTTGTGAAGAGAAAAGGTGGGGGCTGCACGCATGTAAATGTGCAGCAGAGTGGACCTATCTCTAGCTCTGGCATTTGGAAACGAAAAAGCAGTTTTATTGCTTATGGATTATCAGAAATAATTTCAAAGAAGGCACAGATACATTGGATTAACCTATGGATTAACTGCAGCATCGTTTTTTTATCGTTTTAATGCCATTGAAGACCAGTTTTGACCAAGGTAAGCCATGTTAGCGTTTCTAGCTACCTAGCTCCACATGTTATGATGTACAATTTCGTTTATAGTGTCGCAAATGTTTATCACTGAGTGTTGAGGTGGGCACCACTAGATTCAGTGTCTCCAGGAGACCCAAAACGAGTGGTTGGCTGTGCATCTAGGATAAGTAATAAGGGAGTTATTGTGAGTTTAAGTGCCGTTTTAGGTTACATTTTTTCGCTCGTGGGTAATTCAGAGGCTGAGTGTAAGCATTGTGGGTTTTTTTGAAAAAAAAAAATTAAAAGATCAGTTAGCTGAGTTTCTTCTCGTTACATGGATATAAAACATTCATAGTTTATTAAATATTAAGATTCCTTAGACGTTGCTTCCTGCAAATGACGCGTTTATCCGCCCGGTACCGGGGGGGCCGTGCGTAACAGGTTAATGGGCAGGTGCCATCTTACCTTAAAGAACTCATTATACCCTACTGTCCTACTAGGGCATTGCGTTCCAAGGGTTGTTGGTTGTTCCTAGAGTCTCTAAAAGTACAATGGGAGCCAGAGCCTTTTCTTATCAAGCTCCACATTTGTGGAATCAGCTTCCAGTTTGTGTTCGGGCGGCAGACACCCTATCCGTTTTTAAGAGTACGCTTAAGACCTTCGTTTTTGATAAAGCTTATAGTTAGGGCTGATTAGATTCAGCCCCTAGTTTTGCTGCTATAGGCTTAGTTTGTCGGGGGACACCTTACTTCTTCCTTCTCTCTGTCTGTACCTGTGTACTCTCATGTTCCCAATAACCCAGCTTCCCCAAATTTCTTTTTGGTGTCTACATACGCCGGGATCCGGAGTCATGGCTGATCCTGTTGCTGTGGTCCCTTCCGAAGGCCCGTTCAGGGTCATGCGACACGGGGACAGGTGTCCTCCGTCCTCCCATGGCCTGCCCCCCACCCTCCGGTGGGGATGCCCTCGCCCTCGTTGGGGCCCCCCTGCCCCTGCCCTCGCCTGCGGCCCCGCCCTCCTCGGCCCCTGTGGCGCTTCCTCCCGGACGCGAGGATTGTGTCCATGGTTGAATTCTGGGGGGGCTTGTGTGGTGATTGACATAATTCACTCATGGAACTATGGGTTGGGGGTATTGTTCCGCACGGACATATATGTTAACTGTACTTACTGTGTGCCCTCCTTTCTGGTCTTCCCGGGCTTCAAGCTGGTAACATGTGTGTTTCTGATGCTCAATAAAGCTAACTTAGTACCTTCGATACACCGCCTCCGACTCCCGTCTCTCGGCACTACAACTTTCTATTTTTATTGTGTCATTTGGTGGCATCAATGTGCATTTGATAGTGATACAGATAATGGAGCAGATTCTTTAAGGCCACATATACAGTAGACCTATAGCCCTTAAAGGTAGGGTAGGTAAGAATGGAGAAACCAACTCGAGTGCGCTAGAATTTGAAGGTATGCAGCCGAAAAAAATCTGCCCCTTCTTTCAGACTTCCTTACAGAGCCCCTCCTCCAACCAACTCGGCATCACGTCAAGACGTGAACATGTGACGATTTACCATGCTGGGAGACGTGAAGATGTCACGATTTCGTCCCTTCAAACGTGACAGTTACACGGTATTGTTAACATGGCCCAACCAGTGGAGATTTCGCCGATTTTCTTGTTGCCCCAGCTGGTCGACACCTCTTTTAGCAGAAACGAAGGCTACATTAATGTATTAAATCGATGTTAATCCATGTGTGTGGTTGTGGAATTAACGGACGTGACGTTGTGTGATTGCGTTGCCAGGCAACAGCTTGGGTTCATGTTAATTTACAAACTCTTCAACTACAACCCTAGTTATATTTAAAAACATTTTAGAAGGCCTCACGAAATACTTTAATGTAAATTCAAATTCAAATGTGAAGGAATGTGTGTATTAAAAAATCCGCCATTAACAATGCCGGAAACAGACGTAGGCAAGATCCTCAGCTCGGTGATTGGATGTTTTAGCCGCAATGCACGTTGGGATAGGGTGTTTATGCAACACATTCTCACTCCCAACTCGGCCTATGTTGACATTATGTCAGGGTCCCTGACGTCACTTTCCAACGCAAGGGGGGGCCCTTTAGCATCAAGTTTCAACTATCAGGGAGTCCCATTGACTTGCATAGAGCTCCCTGAACATTGGTAATAGACGAGTTGGGATCGCGGAGAAATGCTCTCCGCAGATCCATTCTCACAGCGTTTATCAACCTTTTACTAACTCAATATCAAGCCACACTTATTGTGTTTATTTCTTTATTTTAATTGAATAATGTCTGACTTTTGTTGCCGTCAGTTAGGGGGAGAGTAGGGGCTCAGAAAACTGAAATCTGTATTGTTTCATCGTTTTTTCCTTCTAATTTTGTATTCTTTTCTAAACCACACACTGTTATTTACTCAACAATAACACATAATTATCCTTGTGTTTATTTGTTTGATTGTATAATGTCGGACTTTTGGAGTCCGTCAGGACCGAGTGTCGGAGCAGCTCATAGTAGTTGCTTTAGAGAATTTTACACCCGGAAGTAAGTCTTCTCTCCACTTTGCTTGACAAACCCAGTGATTAGTCCTCAAGCTCTTTGATTGGATGTTTGAGTGGCAGTGCGCCGAGGGTTACGCCGAGTGTCAAACAGCACATTGAAATGGGATGAAACCACGGCAGACTATCCAAAACTGGATTTGAATGGGTCCTCCACATTTTTTCTTTACAGCAGCATGTGTAACAGTTGTAAATATGCAGTGGTGTTTATTTGTAAATCATTTAGTATAATCACACAAATTCTGTGTTTTATATTTGATAATTCTGTGTTCTTTATTTATTGAATGTTCAATACCTGACAAGGTCAGAGATGAAAAACTTGGGTCGCAGGTTCCTCAACA